ATTAAGTGTAAACAAGTGGTACAAATCTGAACTCTTGATAATAATTAACAAACTATTTGCCATAAAAAACAACTGCAATGAAAATATTCTCAAGTATGAACTTGTTCAAATTATATAATTTAAGAATGAAATATATAAAATCCATCAAGATTATAAGCATTTCCAAATACACCTGTCATCATATACTTTTGCTAACAATTGGAAATTTGAACTCCAAATAATATATAAATTTTGAAAATATTTTGATTTCGCCTATTTTTTTTGATTCAGTTTGTTTATCCGTATAAATATTTGTAAAATTTCAAGAAATTATACTATTTGGTATAGCAAAGACCTCCAACCGGCTAGAAAAGTCAGGAATTGCTTGGATCCCGAGCTGATCGCTGGATGAACGTCTTTGAACCTATAAAACTCTCAAACAGGAGGGAGTAATTTCCGGTGAAGAGTCTCTGAAGTTTAAGTTATCATTCCTATAAAAAGGGGTGGCCCAGCTGCCCGTAGTGCCCCAAACAGTTATGATGAGCTGGCTGCCCCAAATGCATGCACTACCCCAAACGGTTATGTAGATAGACCAATCAAATGATGTCGTGTGTTCTAGCCATGTGCAACATTAATTACAATAAGATTCTCTTATCCTTTAATCCTCCTCATTAGGCACTTGACCTTGATTACCTCGAGGTAGAGTATCATGAATATCGAGCTTCGTCGTTACACCCATCTGGTCGATCATTCGACTAGACGTTCTTCCATGTCGAGGTTTCCCCAAGTCCTCCAAGGGCTCCCACTCGACCTGTTGGTATCCTTTACATTACTCATGTCCTATTTGACTTGAAGATCGTTCTAGCTTGGGAGTACTCATTCTTCATTCGACCTTATGGTAGATCCGGTTCGGTTCGGTTACTTTTTCGATCTAGTTGACCAGGTGTGGAAATGAAATTAATTAATCAACAATTATTTTTCAATTCAAAATGACTTTGATTCGGTTTCGTAAGTAATTTAATACTCTTTGAGCCTCGTGGTCAGCCCCAGCTAGAACATTACATCTGATCACCGCGAACTTAAAGGTACGATTAGAAATACTTTTTTTATTAGTCGAATATTTTATTTACACATTTTAACTCAAAATTCATCTAACTTCAATCTAACTTTATTCGCATATTTATTTATCAACAAAATAATATAAATCAATCATTTACATCTTAATTCAACAAAATTCACTGTTTATTAACTCACATTTTATCATCTTCGATCAGCTATCTCATACTTTTACAACACCTTAACTTTAATCAATACATTTTAAATATTATTAAATACAAACTCAAAATTTCACTTTATTCTCCACTCTATCAATGTTTTTAAAAATAAATTAACTCTCATTATCTAATAAATTCAATTTGAACCAAAACTTTTTATTTGCAATCACACATCAAAAGTCCAAAGCATATGTTAACTAGGGAAATCAATTATAAAATACTAATAAATATCATCAAATGTGGGGTTGGCCAATGGGTTTCCTTTCACTCAAAAACGTCTCTTCACACCCAAGAGCGCTTGGATGAGATGGTTTGAGTCTCTTCCAGCTTAACCAGTGGTCTCGAGTTCGAGCCCTGGGAATGCAGCAGTGTTTGAAGGGAGAGCTTTGCCGCCCTTGTGGTCTTACCCGGCTCGATTCCGAATTAGTCGGTTTCCCTGTGGATCCGAAAACCGGAAGGTCCCTGTACCAAAAAAAAATCATCTCTTCACTCATTGAAGGCTCCTCACATAAAAGGTTAAAAACAACTGCGTGGATCTAACTCTTACCCACCCAAATTACTTCATCATTTATCGTTAATTTGTTATTGTCCGCATCCTGTTTGCAAATTAAGCAAAGGAGACTCTACAGTTCCTTTAGAGACCATTTCGTCGGGTTTATAACCGTTAAATCAACTATCTATGACGGTTACATGATGATCTAACGATTACAAAATCCCGACAGAATAGTTCTGTAACGAGACTATAACATTTCACATTAAGCAATTTTTAATTTCTCACACATTCCTTGCTTGAATGATTTGTGCGTCCTTAAGTGATAACTAAGTAAATAACGTGATCGCCCACATTATAACGTATTTGTGAAAGTGATTATATGTGTGTTGGAAGTTGGAACACACTAGATGGACCTTCATTTTGTCAAAAATTTATGTGCTTTTTTCACACTATTTTGTACAACTAATTTTAGAGAGGAGGAACCAACTTATGGTTATGGAAGTGTCGGGTCTACTACAAACTATTTTAAATAAATTTTATTCGTCTGAATGTACAAATGAATAAAGTAAGTCATTTTGAAAATATTGAATTAATATTAATTAATAATTTTAAATATATAGTAATTTTAATCGAACTAAGTTGTTTTCTGACATAATTGGTTCGAGGTGTAAAGCTCTGATCGTGACTAGCTTGTATATTTAAACGAGCCAAACTCGAACGGATAATGGAGCTTATCTATCAAGCAGGTCACATATGGCGTATTTGCGATCAACTCGGTTAGAGTTTTGAGTTTTGGTCTAGAATTTAAGGTTTATTAAATGAGTCAAACTAGTTTTATACGAACCTAACTCGAGTTTATGTTTTTGTTTGTTGATTGAACAAACAAATATGTTTGTTTCTTGTTTATACAAGCAAATGATTCGCACAATAAATAGTTTTAAAGCGTGAAAGTTTCATTTTATAAAAGTATCATATATTATATTTTATGGTCGTGTTTTAAAATGACGACATTATTTATTAAAAAAAAATATTATGAGACGATGTAAATAGTCTAATTATTGTTATATGACATGTCATTTAAGGTTTATATGTCATTTCATTTACTATTTCACACAGATAAATGAGATGTGGAAATAAATTTTATATAGTCAACTATCATTTGAAAGTTCACTTAATATATAAACTAAATCGTGAGATTCATAATTCCCTAAGTATTCTAAGTTTAGCACAATCAAATATTGTCTCATATATAAACAAAAAAAGAAATCAAATAAACTCTATGTAACCAATTAATAATTAAAAAAAACACAAACAGAAGATGAAAAATAACATAATAATAAAAAAAAATGAAAAGAGTTTTAAATCATGTTCAAGTATACAATTTATTGATTTAATCTAAAATAAATTTAATTTGTTTTGGGCCAAATAATATTACACATAGTTAATTTAATATAACATGAATTATAATATTTTTTACTAATCCGCATTTCGAAACGTCGCAGAATTAGAGCCCATCCAAACCTTGGGTGGCTCCGCACCTTTGACTCATTCCATATCCACCAAACAAGACTAGTAACAGTCATTCAGCCGAATAAACTGTCAAAGGAATATACAGCCAAACCGCTGAATCTAGTTGGAAGGACTACACAGAAGGCAACCTAGAACCAACCTAGCAACACGAAACTCCCAAAGGGAGACGGCCAAAAGCTCCCCAAGTGGAGAATACACCAAGCACATTCCAAACGGAAGAGAAAATTAAAAGACTACCTAACAAAGCAAAACACAAATATGAACAAACAAAACTAAACATAAACGAAAACAATCGTTCCACATCCGACAAAACACCAAGACACGCGTCGGCGACACCATAGTCGACCACCCCACCATGCAAGACCACGCCACAAGAAGCCACTCAAGAACCTGCCGAAAACCTAACTGAATCGCAACCAGAGAACACAGTCCCGAGCCCAGGCATTCAACCATGACCCTCAGTCGAAGGAACGCCTAACTAACTCCCAACAACACACCACCGCCCAACCCCAGCCCACAACACGAGCTGAACTCGAAGACACCGACCAACTCCTTAACCGAGGGGAAAAGTGGCCCTACAAGACTTATAAATAAAAGTATGGATATTTAGTGGGGGCCTTTGGAAGAGTTATATTATCTATTTAACAACATGCCCACCCTAGAAACGACTCAGCCAGAGGTAGGGTCCAGCGGCTGGAAGAGCACTGCATGTCCCTGGTGTCCAGTGCGCCCCCGACAACCCTTGAAAATCCAGAGGAAAGCCACTCAAGCTATAAATTGTGAGATAAAGAAAGATGAAACCCATTTTAAATTACTTTTTGGTCTGATAGATCCTACCCATCGTCAATGAAAGGAGACATGATCTCTGCTGTTGAGCTTGACTTGGGGCAGGATTAGAGTGAGGACGAGAAGAAACCAGGGATAGATTGCATCAGTGTGAAATATCAAGTGGGAAAGAAGAATTAGAATGAATTCTTCCATGTTAAATTTGACCCCAGTACAACGATTCCGAAAGTCCGGGCATTCCATGCTGTGACTTCGGCCTAACAAGACCATCCATGTCTGACGTGGCTAAAGTAAGGGCCTTCACATTCTTGTCCTTTTTTACTTTGTTTTTGCGGTCAATAAAATTTGGCTCTGTTTGACTAGTAGTCAATAGCAGATAACTAATAGCGAATTGTAATAATTTATTTGACTAACAAATAGTATTAGCTGCTTGTAAATAATTATTTGTTAAATAATGGATTGTAGTAATTTTAGAAATTTTATATTGACATGTTACTATACGAATCATTTCTTCTCAAAATGGACGTATAATGTATTATCAGCGTTTTGGACTAAAAAAAAAATAATCAAATAAGCATTTGACAAAACAACCTAATCAGCGTATTTGATAGATCAAACCTCTAAATATTGTTCATTCTGTTAATTATACACTAATTGAAGTTCAATATGCTAATTATACACCAATCTGCTAACATTCAAATACGTACCTTATGCAACTTTTGTTAACAAGAGAGAATGGTGGCATTTCAATGGAGGTTAAGGATAACACAATAGAATACTAATCTGCAGATTTTCTCAAATAGTTGCCCAAAGCCAGAATAAGGATAACACAATAGAATACTAATCTGACTAATGCCATCGACAAGTCTTTTGCAAAGCACAAATACCGTTTACTCCACCAGATTCTCATTTCTAACCGTACCATCATAACAGAATACACAACACATGAATAGCAAGGCACTAACTACTGAAACCGGCCATTGCACGTAGTCGTAAAAGCTTATTACAGCTCATCTACCGGCTACAAACAAACCTAAAAGTACGAGATGGTAAAGACACGAAATTTTTAACAAGTTTCCAGAAGATTCACCTTCCGGCACCCAACCCCATCGACTTCGGACGCCTGACGGCGGACAAAGGGTTCACCATGCCCTGAGAATCCTTACCCAGGCCCGTACCCTCCACAAAGCCCATTTTCGCCATCATCCTCGACCCGAATCCCTTGGTATGCTTCTCAAACGAACCGAAATTATTCTTCTCATCTTTCGTCTCTTTAGCATTTGTTGCAGAAGCCTTGGGCCCCTTCCTTCCTGCAGGCTTGGGCTGAGATTTCACATTTCCAGATTTATCGCTAGTTTCAGGAGCCTCAGCACCCAACCCGAGCGATTTGGGCCTCTGGGCCACTTCAATGGGCTTTGCCATGCCCTGGCCATCCTTACCTAGTCCGCTGCCTTCAACATATCCCATCTTGGCCAGCATTTTCGAGCCGAACCCGGTTGTGTGCATCTCAAACGCGCCGTATTGTACCGTGCACGTTTCGGGTTTGCTGTCGTTACCATCGGAGGCCGATTTCATCTCATTCGGCTCATTTATTTGCAGCTCCATTATTTCGGTATTCAGAATACCACTTGAGACAAAGGACAATGGCTGGGCAGCGTACGACCCGACTTTGCCGGAAGTTTTCCTTTTTGATGACCCATTTAATTTCTTCCGGGAAGACTGTTGGCCCACTTGGGTTGTAGAAGTACGGTTTCTGGCAGGTTTGTTTAAGCCGTGCATGTTGTTCCCTTTTAAGGGCTTTCCACCCGTAACCGAGAAATCTGCATTTTCATCGTCCTCAATTCCTATCATCTGAAATTCAGGAAAAAAACAAAAAAAAAAAAAAAGGTTACATGCTTGCTAGTGTAAGAGATAAATGTACAAGCACAAGTTTTAAAGAGATTCGGGGGGATAGCTTGGGCATACAACCTTCTCCAGGCGTATTTTATCAGCTGAGGACGGCATAGAAGTGTGTGGTGTTCGGATGACTGTGACAAATCTGCATAACAACATGCAAAGTGCACAATTAAAATTCGGTTACACAGTTTTCTCTGAGCGTATGATAGTATCACTTATAAGTTGTTCATCGGGGGCCAAGCCATTTCCGATCAAGTCATAGGGGCAGCCTTACTAAACTGTAAGGACCCAATTAAAGGAAACCAGCCACGACAACAATCATCAAACAATCCAAAAATTTGGGACCCTCAACTCAGCATTACATGGTAAAACCTCAACGAAAGGCCAGGAATAAGGAGCTGACAAGAGCCAGGAATCACTTCTGGGCAAAATTCCGCTGCCAAAACTTTTTAGTGTGTTTAATTGTCACTTATGGTTTGTTTAATTCTTGTAGAAACTCAACATATCAAAAACAAGATGCAAATTCGTAAAAGCATGTTTCCCTAGGAACTAGAATTAACTATGAAACTGAGCCCCATAATAGTAACATCTCAAAAGAATGCACAGATGGAATAATAATTCCAACTAAGAACACGCAACATGAATAAATGGACTCATTCATTAACCTCACTGGCCAACTTTTCGTGAACTCGATTGGTACGTCATAGAACAATGTTACCAACGGCGAATTGCGAGTCATGGCAGTGAGCCAGGATGACATAGCTGCAAATGGCGGAACCGGAAAGAATACTTTATATATATGTACATATATTTATTTATTTATGTACCTTAAAATATATATTATACATACATGTATTGTAACACCATAAAAATTAAAACATGCCAATAAATACATAAGAAATATATTAATTAATTTCACAAAAAGAGCTGAATATTATAAAAAATAAATGAAGAACTAAAAAAGTAAGATGCGGCTAAAAAAAAGATTTTCGAAACATTAACGGAAGGGCTGAAAATTAAAACGAGTAACCAAGGAGATGAAAAATAAACCGCAGCCCAAAATTTGTGCTGGAAAATATAAACAAAGGGTAATTGAATAGAAAAGGCTCGAGGAAAAATAAATAAAGAATGAGCAAACAGAGAAAAGGATTTAAAAACAGAAGAAAATGAGAAATAATAACGACTACAGGTTCCGTAGCCAGAGGGTGGGTCAACTTTCTGAAGGTTCTTCTCTCCACTTCAAGCAATTATTATTATTTTTTTTTTTCACGAGCCACAGGTTAGGGATCAATTCCATTTGTCTTTTCTGTTATTTTATTTGGCAAAATTTGGTTGTCCCAATTACTTTTTTCTTTTTTTTTTTTCTCTCTTTTTTCAGCATTTTCCGCCAGTCATGGCAGCACCAAGCAGCCAACACAAGGCGGCGATAACTGAAAAATTGCTACACCATACTGCCAAGGGGTTGTCATGGTCGTCAGTCAACAACATGACATCATAGGGCAAATAAGAACATAAGACGGTTTACCTCTTCTTGCCGGATCCTTGGCACCCACTTTGCAAACGATAAATAGCAGCTAATCTCCTTACCTGAAAAACCAAAACCAACGATTCCGCAAAATGCACATAGGATCTAAGTGCAATTGTCATTTCAGGTAGATTATACTTCTGAAAATGTAAAATAACAGAAACTGGAACTTCACATATTTATTAATTTATTTAAAGCACCTATACTATCTTCCCTTAGTCGCTCCCTGTTCAAAGCTTTAAGAAATTAGCTTACTGAAAAGCTTGATTTTTTATGCACAATATTTGATCATCACTTGATGCCCATTACTATAGTAAACTTGAAAAATTGCAGCATATATCAATTGAATTTCACATAAGAAAAACTACAAAGAATAAAAGCACAGAAGTACAAGTTAAGAAAACATCATGTTGCACGAAGCCTTAGTAAAGTAATGGAATATACTTTGGTTACTAGCTTCAGAACATAACTTACCTGAGAACAATCCCGTGGAAGCATGGGTGGGAAAGACTGCATGTCCGTGCCATCAAGAACTAGCTGCTCCAATTTCTACAATATGATTTTAGTCATTTTTTAACTTTCATTCAAAGTGCCATTTTTTTATCTAAAAGAGCAAAAAGTTATAAAACTTTATTCCACCAAGGGGAATATCATGTGAAAAGCTGAACTCTCAATTGGTCAGATATTCATCATACTTAAAATTCCGATTTTAGTAGGGCCTAATACAAGAGGGACCAATAATCGCCAACGACACAATGAACATTAAAGATTTAAATAGGACATAATGTTCTGTATATATTTATCTAACTTATGCTGGTTTTATGTGTGCCTTACCGTATTTATTTTTTGGAGATCTACACCACGCAAACGCATTCTATCCAGCCGCTTTGCAGCAACCATTTCTTTATGATGTCTCTTTTTCTCCCCTGAATTCATAAATTAAAAAATGATCTCAGTCAAGGTCAGACAAAAAAGAATAACGTTTTACTAATTCTTACAAGAAGAAGGGGATTAAACAAAAGGCAGGAACAAAAAAAAAAAAAAAAGAAAAAGAAAAAAAATATCAACCCGAAGACAATTTGAGACTCTATAAATCCAAATATACTTCAGAGGCCCGGAATTTGTGATTACAATTCATTGTACTCACTAAAAGTCAATCACCACATAAGACCATGACAAAAGAAATATAAACAAAATTCTATTTAAATTCTAATGGACCACCGACCACCTTAATGCAAAGAGAAACAGCATGCAATCCTTTCTATCAACATCAACTGTACCTGGTATTCTCCTCTTCTTCTTGCTCCTGCGAGCTTCCCCTGGCCAAGACTGTGGAATTCTAGCAACATGTTTTTTCCTTCTAGAGAGAGTTCTTGGATCCTTAACAAACATCAGGTCATCTACAGTAGACGGGCATGCATACTTAACAGGCGTTGACTTTTTATCTTCTCTGAAATACTTCCTCCCCAACTTGGGCATCATCCCATACTGTCTTGAAGCCTCCTGAAGATAAATTCCACCCAACTTGTGCACAGTTTCGTCCAAACTGCCTTCATCTTCATCATCATCATCATCATCAGACAAACCAGAAACCTGTCTTATAAGCCGACTGACATTAATGGTGTCCACATTCCCTCCAATACCCTGGAAGTAATCCTCAGCAACCTCATCATCAACATCTGAACCACTGTCTGACAAACTATCACTCTCGGATGTTTCAGAGCAGTTGTTTGAGTCTGAGGTGCTCGAGCTTTCATCATCACTTACATCTTCATCTTCATCTTCATCTTCATCTTCATCCTCGTCACTGGTATCCTGAGTGTATATTTTAGAGCCACCGATTACCACATAACCTAGATTTTCCTCCATAAAGGACATGTCGTTCATTGCATCATTAACATCTACACCACCTTCTTCCTCAGAAGAAGAAATGTCGGCATAATCACTCTCTTTCTGTTGCCTGCTGGAAGAGGACCCAATGGCGTGTGGAGGAGTTTGCATTTCATCATGGAACCCTAAACCTCTGTGTGGGCTTTCGTCCAGTGCAAAGCTAGTAGTGTACTCATACGTGTATTCCATGTTTTGGGGCTCGTTGACTGGTCCTTCATCTAAATAGACAACAATCGGGCTCTTCCCTGAGTCGACCAAAACTACGGGATTTGATGCACTGAATTCATTTTCCTGGTTTTCAACTCCATCAGAGACATTTTCCTGGATACACCAATGACTGTCAAGCCAAAATTTTGGCAGTTCCGAATTTAGTAAACTGAAGATAGCCAGTTATAACAATGTTTCAGAATCAACATCTAACATGAATTCACACTTTCTTGAAGAACACTTTTAACACCTAGTGAAGTAAAAAAGGTGGTTGTTTCCACTTTTTAAACAGGAACAGCTGGTCCTTACAAACCTACATCAAATATGAATTCCCATTTTCTTGAAGAACAAATTTTTGGCATATAGTGAAGTGAAAAGGGTGAAAGCTTTGAATTGAGTATTAAACGGTCCGGTTTCCCATTCACTATATATTTCTTGTAAATAAAGTGCAATACAAGAATTTCTATATCCCTACTGTGACCACATTGTCCACTCCAAATTAAACAAAATATGGATACTAACTTACAAATTTGCTGCAGCTATCAACTCATTTTATCAAAAAAAAAAAAAAAAAAAAAATCAATTTTCCAGACCAAACAAAACCATCTTGAGCAACTGTTTCATAATCAAAATCATCCAGTATATAATGTTCGTGCAATTACATACCTGAGGATAGATATACCCAATCGCATTCCCTCTCATCCCCTGGGCCTCTCTTCCACGATACGAACCCGACCCGGTTCTTGTATCATAGAGGCCGTCCGATCCAGCACCGGATCTCGAATTCCCATTCACCCCATTATTTCTTTTCCTCCCTAAACAACAGAACCATTCAATCAAACGCATCCCGTAAACATTTTTTCACTCTTTCAAACAACCCCACACAATTATAATCACAAAGAGAGAGAGAGAGATAGAAACAGAGACCTCTTGAAGGAGGAGAGCTGAAGGCAGACAAATCAGACAAGAATCCACCCTCTACGAAGAGACCGCGGCCCGCGGAGGAGCAAGAAGGAGCAAAGGGCCGTGGCCTTGGGCCCCTGCTGCTCGATTTATTCGCCTTTTTTCTGCTTTTCCCACCCATTGATGATCGATTTCCCCTGCGTGGATAAAGATTTTTGTTAATAGAAAACACGCGTGTGTGTATTTTTGTTTATATGTATGCGGGCGCGTGGCTCAGGCTGTGAAGGAGGAGTGGGGACGAAGAAAAATCTCGAGTTTGGGGTGCAAGGAAGGAAGGAGGGGCAGCAGGGTTGAGTGCAGGTTACGGAGTTGTACAATTGGGATGCAAGGGGTATTGGATAGGTATTCTATTCAACGTACAACTGCGTGATGCGTTCTACGGGAGAATCTTCCAAAAAGATACCTCCATCGTGCCATAAATATTGGAGAGTATCATTTCGGTTTATTTGTATGAATCATGGTATAATTCGGATTAAGGTTTTTTTAACGAAATGATTAATACTATATAACTAAAAAAAGGCCTAATTGCTTAAAAAACTATGACCTTTTCGAAATTTGCATTTTTATGATCCACTTTTAAACTTGGCAAAATTATGCACCACTTTCATTATTGTTTGCAAATCTATGATCAGGGCCCAATTTCGGGCTTTTTTAAACGACGTGGCTTTTTTTTCAGACGTGTTAATTGTTGTTTCTATTCGATATTCCACGTCGCAAAGGCCTATATAAGACTGAGAATCTCATCTTCAATCGACGACCTCTTCTGAAAAATCCCCAAATTTCCTCAAACCCTAAATCGACGATATCAGATTCAATTTGAGATCGACTAATTACTCATTTCGAAGAACTTTTTTTTTTCAAACCTAATCGACGATCTCAATGAAAATTTATGTTCATCTGTTGCCCGAATCGACGATCTTCTCAATCAATTCGACGAAGATTCTGTGAAGTGCATGTTTCACTACGCTCAATCGTAGAAAATGGACAAAAACAACAAAAGGTAAGTCGTATTTTTCGATGTCGGGCTTTTCCCTTACACTGTTAGATTCTATAAATTTGGGTTTTTTTGATAAAATTATGGATCCTCCAAATTAGGGTTCTTGACGAATCTAAGGATGCCTCCAATTAGGATTTCTTCAAAAAAATTAGGGATTATCCAATTTAGGGTTTCTTATAAAAATTAGGGATTATCCAATTTAGGGTTTCTAATTTAGGGTTCATTAAAAATTTTAGGGATTGTCAAATTTAGGGTTTAAGATAGGGTTTTTTGGAAATTTTTGGGATTCTTCAAATTTAAAAGTTCTGGGTCAACTTTTGATTTGATTTTTATTTTTTTCATTTCTTCTGCAGGGACACTTTGTCATTATTAGTTAACCACAGTGGTAAACTTGTAATGATAGACGGTAATGTAGACTACGTAGAAGGTGATTTTGAAACAGTTTATAGTCTCGATATGGATAGATTTGGTTACTTTGATTTGGTAGAGCTCATTCAAAAACTTGGGTGTAGCACGTAGAAAAACAAATATTACAGAATTCCCCAAGTGTTTGGTAAAGAAGCTTTGAGGGTTGTGCTTGATGATGTGGGTGTGATGGAGCTGTATAGTCATGCTACAAAACATAATACCATGATTGAGGTTTATGTGGATGAGGGAAATGAATTCCAGTGTACTGAGGCTCAGAGTGTTGTTGGTGAAAAGAATGGTGAGGGTACAGGGGCATCAGAGATACATGATGAGGTTGGTGAAAGAACCATTGAGGGTAGAGGTGCAGCATCAGAGGTGCATGATGAGGTTGGTGAAAAAATCACTGATGGTAGAGGTGCAGCATCAGAGGTACATGATGAGATTGGTGAACAAAAAAATAAGGGCAAAGGGGCAGCATCAGAGGTAGTTGATGAAGATGATGAACTTGAGTACTTCATTGATAATTACATTCCAGATGAAGAAGGTGCCTGTGAAGGAGGTGCAGATGAAGAAGCTGCAGATGAAGAAGCTGCAGATGAAGAAAGTGAAGATGAAGACTACATGCTACAAGATAAAAGCTCTTCTGAGGATGACCTTAGTGATGAAGACATTGTATCTGAAGATGATGAGTACATTGAAGCTAGAAAGAACATAAAAAAGTATAAGAAGACTGCACCTCATGATGATATTTCAGAGAGTGGGCTCAACCATTTTAGAAGCAGTGGACTTCAAGGAGCACATACTGATGAAGCTGATATGGATAATTTTAGTGATGACCAGTGTGCACTTATGACTGATTCAAGCAGCAGTCAAGAGGATGAAATCACAGAGAATAGGCCAAGGAGAAAAAAAATCAGAACAGTGTATGATCCTGCCTGTGATCATAAAACACTTGTGTTGCAAGTAGGTATGAGGTTTGAGTCAATTATTCAGTGCAAAAAGGCAGTAAGAAAAGTTGCAATATTGAATGGCAGAAATATTCATAATATGAAGAGCAATAAGAAACTGCTACATGTGAAGTGTGTGGATGGATGCCCATGGAGATTGTATGCTAGTGTAATTGCAGGTGAAGGAAGTGTTGCCATAAAGTCCATTGTTAATGATCATAGATGTCACAGGGACATTTACACAAAACAAGCAAGTGCTGATTGGAATGCAGAGGAATACATGAATACATTTAGAAAGAATCCCAACTTCAGTATTAGCCAACTCAGTGATGATATTCTGAGAAACTTTGCAGTTCACCCATCAAAGTGGAAGTTGTACAGAGGTAAGTGGAAAGCCTTAGAGATGCTAAGAGGAACAGTTGTGGAACATTATGCTTCTGTCAGAAGGTATATACTAGAACTAATGAGAGTGGACAAGGAGGGTAGATTTGAGTTGCTTGTTGGTGAGGACACACAATTTAAGAGACTTTACATTGGCTTCAGTGCACTCAAGAAAGGGTTCATTCATTGTTGTAGGCCTATCTTGGGTCTTGATGGCTGCTTTCTTAAGACATTCTTGGGGGGGAGCTATGTTATGTGCAACAGCCAAAGATGAGAACAACCAGATGTACCCAGTTGTTTGGGCTGTAGTTGAGTCAGAGAATGAAGAATGCTGGACATGGTTTCTTAGTATCTTATTTAAAGATCTGGGAATTACTGATGGTTTGGGATATACACTTGTGAGTAACCAACAAAAGGTAAATATCAATTAATCTTCAATGTTATCTATAGTTTACCCCACATTTAGCTTTAAAATGTAAATTACTGATGTGAACTTACATTGGCAGAGACTGATGAATGCTGTGGAAGTGCTAACTCCATATGCTGAGCACAAAAATTGTGCAAGGCATGTTAACATGAATTGGAAAAAGCAGTTCAAGGGCCAAGCACTTAAGTCCATTTTTGAAAATAGTATTGAGTTCTAATATGGCAGCATATAATTTGGCACTTGAGAATCTGAAAACTGAAGATCCTGATGCATATGAGGATTTTATCTCAAGAGACCCTAGAAGATTCTGCAAAGCATTCATATCTACCATGCCAAGATGTGATATGATTGAAAACAATGTAAGTGAGACTTTTAATGGCTACATTGTGAAGTTCAGAAGCAGACACATCATAAATATGCTTGAGGGTATTAGGACTGAATTGATGACAAGACAGCATGGAAAGCTTTTACAAGCTAGTGGAATAACTGACACCATATGTCCTAGGATTAGAGGAAAGGTAGAACAGAACAAGTTCATGTCAAGGTTGTGCACTACCCAACCAGCAGTTGGAGATATATTTCAAGTGAGTATTGATGATGAGCAGTATGTGGTAGACCTGAAGACCAACACTTGTACTTGTAGAACATGAGACCTTTGTGGGATTCCATGTATTCATGCTTGCTCTGCCATTCACTTCTTGCATAAAGACCCAACTGACTTTGTGGATGGATACTTCAGCCTTGAGAGGTATATGAATATGTACAACTGCTCTCTTGAGCCATTGAATGGGAAAAATATGTGGCCTGTTGCTGATGGCTATCCAGTGAAACCACCCCCTTTTAAGAGATGCCAGGCAGGCCTAAGAAGAAGAGAAGAAGAGCACCAGAGGAAGAAAGAAAGACTGATTCAAAGCTTAAGAGGTTTGGCCTACAGATGACATGCCAGAGGTGTCAAGGGAAGGGACACAATAAGAAGACTTGTCTGAAAGACCCTGTACCAAAACAACCAAAGGTTAGTATCTGTCATTAGTTTACTCTTTGTTTTTTAACATTTTTCTTACCTTCTGTTACTTCAAATTAGAACAAGAGGGGGAGGCCAAGGAAGGTACCAGCAACACCTGTCATTGGACCAGTTGGAGGTGTGTCCAGTAGCACTGTGTGTGAACCAAGTAGGAACAGTAGAAAGACTTCAACAAGATTCAAGAAGAAGCAATCTAGTGATACAGTCATTCATAAGGAACGAGCCATGGTGAGTTGTTAACCTTTGTGTTTTAGTGTTTTATCTTATACAAAGCATGTAGTTATATTTAGTTAATTTTTACAGGTTATGAAGGGTTTGGGGATTTTGCAGTCTGAAGAAACTGGAAATGTATACATGCGGGTAAGTGAGTTTAAACATAGTATAAGTCTTTGAAATTTCCACTTACAAGAGGTATTCAATTTCAACATCTTATGATTTCAATGTTCAGATGTCATCTGGAAAGGGTATTCACTTTATACCCTCAAGAAAATCAACCCTGAGTAGGAAAAAGAAAGGCAAGAGAACTGGAGATAACAGCCAAGGAGCTGAAAATATGGGGACTCAAGAAAGTGTGGCAGAAGCCTCATAGTGTAATCAGTTTGTTTTGCTACTTTTGTGATGGGTATTCACTTTGTTTTGCTACTTTTATGATGGGTATTCACTTTGTTTTGCTACTTTTCTGATGGGTAATCAGTTGTTCTGTTATGTTTATGATGGTTTAGGGCTATGTTGATGATGGTTTAGGGCCATGGATAATTTTGTTGATCAGTTGTAATGGTTATGTTTTGGTTATGATGATGGTATGTATTTGACAATATGTTTTCTACTCAAGAAAGATTTTGTTATGTTTTTTCTACTTCTATGTTTATGGTTATGGTTTGAGCCCTACAGAACACAACATAAAGAACAAAACAACAATTCTTCACCAACACATTAGAAA